GTGGTGCTGGTTTGGTGCTTCCGGTTTTGGGCATCTGGTTTGGGGCTTGCTGTGTTGGTGCTGCTGTGTTGGTGCTGCTGGTTTGGTGCTGCTGGTTTGGTGCAGCTGGTTTGGTGCTGCCTGTGTTGGTGCTGCTGTGTTGGTGCTGCTGGTTTGGTGCTGCTGGTTTAGTGCTGCCTGTGTTGGTGCTGCCTGTGTTGGTGCTGCTGGTTTGGTGCAGCTGGTTTGGTGCTGCTGGTTTGGTGCTGCTGGTTTGGTGCTGCTCACCCTCCAGGTCGTCTCTGGGGATCAGCTCCTCTGGGATGAACAGGGCTGCGACCTCCAGAACCAGCCTCTGGTACCTCAGGCCCTTCCAGCTCCGCAGCGTCTCTGGACTCACTGCAGGCAGCGTCTCTGGCATGAACATCCCTCCATCTGGAGCGAATCCGGAGAACAGAACCTCCCTGAAGTCCCGGTTCTGGACCCCGCCGCGGGTGCTGCAGTACCACATCCTGTAGAACCGGGTTCAGAACCTCATTAATGAGTCTGCAGCAGTTTAACCTCATTACAGGAAGAGAACCGGCCAATCAGAACCTGCTTTAAAACTTCGGGTTCTGTTGGACAAACAAGTGGCACCACTGCAGAATACAGGAGAAACACTGTTAAATTTATGCATGTTTATGTTTTAAACTGACTTTTCAAAGCTTCAGTGTTTTTGTCCCAGAGTTTTAAAAAGCAGCAGCAAAGGAGCCGAACTAGAGGTTCAGGAAATATGAAAACACAAAACATCATTTGATAAAGTTCCTTCTGAATCAGGAATCCTCATCTGGAAAAGTTGAAACTGCATGAAAGGTGACAGATCTCAGAGATTTTAATTCCCAACTGAAAGAAAAACCAACATCATCCCTGATGGTTGTTATGGACAATTAGTTTCTCTTATTTATACAAACTGAGGTTTTGTAAATGAACCTGTGACTAGAAACCTTTGGTTCAAACAGCTGATCGGTTTTAATCAGGTTACTAATTATATTAATTAGAAATGAATTAAACTCACAGCTGCTGATAAACATTATTTACAACATTTAGGAGAAATTTCAGTTATTTCATTTTCAACACAAATTTTGTTTACTTTTCAACCAGCAGGAATCAATAACTGAATAATCAATAACTCAATAATCAATAACTCAATAATCAATAACTCAATAATCAAAAACTGAATAATCAATAACTCCCACATTCATTTTTTATTATTGTCCTCTGAAAGGGACAAAAACATTATGATGCCAATAATCAATAATTAAATGTTTATGTGTCTGATCGTCTTTGTTTCAGGATCAACAGGAGAATCAGAGGAAGCAGAACCGGTTCTGAACGAAAAGGTCCAAAATAACAAACTGGAGCTCAGGACCCACCTGTTCATTTAACCCGACCAACAGAACCTCCTGCTCAGTCCAACAGAACCTCCTGCTCAGTCCAACAGAACCCGTCTCCAGGTGGATCTCAGGTTTTACCCGACGACACGCTGAGCAGAACCTTTGAGACAGTAAAAGTTGGACTTTGATCGGTTCAGACTGAACTAACCGGACCAGGAGAAACAAATAAGTTCCTGGTTAAACTCAGAAACTTTAAGATCTGGTGGTTCTGTTGGGTCCAGATCCAGTTGAATCTTCTGGAGTTTTTCCATATTTATAGTTTGAGGCATCGTTCTCCAGCCTACATCTGAATTTATTAAAATAGAAACAATGCACCAAGATGGTTGATGCTTTTATTTTGAAGGAGTTCATGAGTT